TGCCTCAAGACCCGTGTTCCAAAAACAACTCATACTGGTGTGTGAGTTGGCGTTTGGGTCACAGTTGACTGTAGTAATTGAAGCATTTCTTAAGCATTCCTTCTGTGTGTTGGAGGCTCTAGTGGATGCAAAAACAAACACTCAAGGCAGTCTCCTCGAGAAACTTATAGTTCGGTACAGAAGGTGAGACAAATAATTCAAATAACATTCAGATCATAATAAGAAAGATGAGAACAAATGCTCTGAAAGTGCAGTGAAGAAGAAATCACTTTAGCTGGAGAATCAGGGCAGGTGTCAAGACATTTGAGCCAAGCCCTGGACTAATAGTTTGGGACTAGTAGAGATGGGAGCAGCACCATTGGGCTGAAGGAGTTGTGTAAACAAAGGAGAGCTGATGACACAACCCAAACGGCAACCTCCCATAATCCACTTTGGGTTTGGCCTCCAGGTCGCAAACGGGGTACAAAGTCTTAGTAAAGTTAAAAGAGGCCTTGCAATGAATGGGTAAATGCAACTGATAGACTTCTAAGTTCAAATGGTTATCTCTAAGCATGTTTCACATGACATATTACACATGACAGCTTTGTAACTAGGTTACCAATTAAGGCAGGTACAGTACCTGCCATCCTTAATGACTTCACACGACCTGTTGTTGATTTCATTATCCATCTTATGGCGAGCCTTTAGAAGAGAGATGGGGAAACGTTATTTGAATAATCTCGAAAGGTAAAGTATTAATGCCAAACTAAGAAAATGAGCTCGCAGCCATGGAGGAGAAAGGTGTGTGGGAAATCCTTACCACATCATCCACCAGGTCTTTGACTGCCGTGATGCCCAGCACCATCAGCAAGGGCACCAGGGTGGTGTACCACGCCAGGGTCGTGATCTGAGGGATTGCCTGGAAGAAATGAAAGGGCATACGTGTGTGCCCATGAAGGCAGAGCTGACCTATGGGCATCTAACCACTAATTTTAAACTTGCTGATGTGAAGTCCAGTCACCATCATCACCCAAGTCTACATCCTGCAGAGTGTGCAGAAAAGGCATCTAAGCCCCCAGCCAACCTTCTTCTCAGAATCTCTCTAGCTTCTGGCCTCCTGGAACAGAGCACAGAGCACAGTGGCTCCTGGAACTCTCTCACTGTCCCCTTAACTGGACACCAAGGGGGCTTTGTAGCATGGCACCTAAAAAAGAGAACTGCTCCAAATTTTTTGTGAAAGTCCTAGTTAACATGGAGAGGGCAGTGAGAGGTGTGCGGGAAAGGGGATGCATGCAGCAGGCTTTACATCACTGGTGGCTTAGCCTGGCGTCTCTGATGGAGGTAAAAATGGCAGTAGGTAGTGGTTGCCTCAGAAAGCTAGGGCTTGGTTGGCCTCTTTGGAGGCACTAGAAGAAGCGCTTCCTTCATGGTCATTGCTATTGGTCCAGCCAAGAAAGGGGTTGGCCTTGCAGGAAGCTCCGCCTCCACCAAGTTGGGACAAAGGACTGGGAAGCAAGCTTAGGAAAGCTCTCTTGGAATTATCCTCTTGATCACTGGGGCATATAATGTACTGGTTAAAATGACAAGCTTTAAAGTCAAGCTCCTGGATCTTAGTCCTGCCCAGTTCTACCACTTATGGATATGGGACTCTGAGCAAGTTTCTCCGCCTTGCCAGGCCTCAGTTTTTCTCTGCAAAATGGAAGTTATGATAGTACTCAACTCAGAGTATAAGAATTACGTGAAGTAACCATGCAAGTAAAGGGCTGTCTAAGGCTATTACTATTACCCTAATTTGGATTGCTATACTTTGAGACAATTGGAGCAGTCGGAAGAGAGAAAGAACATTTCCCACATTATTGTCAATACATGCAACTCCCCTTTTCCCTGCTAGAAGTAAGGGGAAAGTAGCCCACTTATCACACAGCAGGACTTTATAATTTGTAGTGTTTATCTCTACACAAGCCTATCTCAAAAGTCTCTCTTGTTAACAGGACCAGCCTGTACTATCAAGTCATCAGGTTTTATATTCTACAAAATCTGTTGAGTATCCATTTCTGTCTCTCTTTCTCTCTCTCCTTCATACCCACCCATACACACATACTACCATTTTCACAAAACCTTACTGGGTGAATCCCAGCAGGTAAGAAAGACCGTTTTCCAAAACCAATGCTTGATGTAAAGAATCTGATAAGGGCNGGCCATTCCTGCTGGGCAGAGGCATCCAGAAACTTCCCTTCCTCTGTCTACCTTAACTCTTAACCATTAGCCTAGATGATCAAACTGCTGTTTAAAAACTTAGCTTCTAATATTTAATCACACTAAGGTGATTCTACAAAACATATGTGTTACAGAAAATGTCCAGACCCTGCTGACTTACTGTTTTTCAGAATGAATAACTGGATCCCATATCTTTGAGAAGATAATTCTGAGTAAGGAGCTGGTAAACCTTACCCCCAATACTTGGCATGTCCCACCCACTCATTATTCTCCCACATGGGAATAATAGCTGTTTCATAGTTAAGACCGAACAATCAACTGACTGACTTCTAGAACAAAGGAAGACCTAAGTTTTACTCAGATGATTCAGCTGTCCATAAAGAAGCTTATGCATAGCTGAGGTGTGAGGGAAGGTGTTTGCGCCACAGTGGGAAATTCAGCATTAGCCTTGAGTGGAGCACAGGGGAGTGGTGTCCCAACTCTGCCACTTACTCTGTGACTTTGGGCAGGCTACTTCACCTCCTGTGCCTCAGTTTTGTGATGGGTAATGTTGAGGTAATAATACTTGTCCCATACAGTGGTTGAGGACATTCAATGAGCTAACACATAAAGCTAATGTAACCTAGTAGGCGCTCAATAAATGTATTGAAAACTGGTAAAAAACCAGGACTTTACTCTCTTTCAAGAGGGAGCATAATAATCAAACAAAGGGAGAATTCAAAACTGTTTATTGGCAAAGACTTTAAAAATCTTTTCCTTTTTTTCTGAAGACTATGTGAATAGTCACTGCTATGTGTCTGGATACTGTTCGGCTGTTTACAGAAGGCTCGGACATACATTCTGCCACCAATCCTTTTACCTTCCCTGAAACACGGGAGCAAGGCAGGCTGGAGAGCAACACTTTACAGATGGAATAGAAAAGAGGTTGGTGGATTAGGGACAGAGTTGGACAGAAAGCAAGTGGTAGAGGCAAGGCCAGCTCTCGGGGCTTCTTGTCCAGAGAGCACAGCTTTCAATGTAACAAACATGGCTTCCAAGGTCAGCTTTAACGGGGATCCAGCTAAGACCCACTCACCCATCCAGTTCAGCTGTTTCGACATAGCAGAGGCTGTTAGGTTCAGAGCTGGACAGAAGCAGAATATCAGCCTGTTCGAAACAAAACACACCAATGACACACAGACCCCGCCCCCAAGGCAAAACTGAGGTTCGGGTCAGATGGGGGAAAAACGGAATGAGAGAGGCATAGCGTGTTCACTTACTGGAACAAAATCATTTTTCTTCAGACGAATAACATCTCCAACTTGAATCTCCTTCCACTTGGCAACCTTGAATCTAAATATTAAAAATAAAGACAGTTTCTTTGTTTTTAAAAAGTGACTGGCAAGAGATTTGAAGTTATTCTGCAGGAAGCCAAAGATTCTGGGAAAACATGTAAATGACAGGGAAAAGTTTCACTAAAAGTTCAGCCATTGAATGATGTAACCACATTAAGTGGTTATGAGAATTGTATTATCCCCTGAAGGAAGCAATGATATGGTGACAACTTTGATGTGTTCTTACCATCCTACATCATGCAATGAAGGGTTAATGGGGGCTACTTAAATATGTCACGCGGAGATACATGTCTCTCCCTTTTGTTTTTGCTCATGTCCTGTGTTCCCACCTCGCCTGTTCTCTTTCATCTCCATTATCCCTCACCTCCTCGGTTGCAGGTCCCAGGTCAGGAACACATGGCTTCCACATGGGCCACCTGGAAACCTCATGGAACTTTAAAGTTTAAATTATCTTTTTAATGAGTGTATATCACTTTAATTAGTCTAATAAGGATATTGATAAAATGAAAATAAATAAAAAGATGACTATCTTCAATATTAAATTGCATAGGAATATCCATTTAAATTTCTAACAAATCAACATTTTAAAAAGTTTTAAAATATAGTCTGTTTTAAAGGTTTTCACATATGAAAAAGCTATCTCCAACAGATATTGTGAACCTACTACAACTAAACAACTTAAGATTTTTGGAGGCAGAAATCCAATTACTGTGTTTGTCCCCATGAATTTATGGATAAAAAAGACCTGGAGATTTAAAATACATTTTAAATGTATGCTTCCATCCCAGTTTCCCCAATTATATAAGAATTTAACACACAATTCTTAATCCCAGGATTTTAAAAGAATTTAGCTTGTCTTTCAAACAATGAAACCAGGTCCTTTACATCTTGATATCTCTAACATTGTCAATTAGCAATTTGCGTGTGGGTCTCAAATGATAAGTGAACAAGTTAGCACCTTTCTTGTCACAGCTCTTTGTGGGTGTTAGAAACCATTCCATTGGACTCTCCCACTGCCATGCTGCCCCATCAATGCTCAAGTCCTGACATGGGTTTGACCCCACTCCAGAGGCTGCCAGGGCCACAGCCCTGCCTGATATGTTCCCAACACCCCCAAATTCAAGGCAACTCAGAGCTACTCTTTACCAGTGTGGTTACCAGGCTGAGGGCTAGTTAGCCAGAGATGTGTGGGTTAGCTATTACAGTCTCACCACCCTTCAGAATAGTGATTCTAAGGGACTTGAAAGGCAACTTTGGAACAGAATTCATTATTTGCGAGGAGGAAAAAAAAGCCATCTAAACATATTTATACATTGATGGAATCTATATTCAAATTAGACCTAGTGAAAGTGT